TCCTGTTCTGGAAGTTGAACACGATTGTCTATCACAGATAGTTCATCTATCAGTCTATTAGCGACAGTTTGTTTTATTTTCGACTTGTGTGCTTCTGATGTCACAGTTTGTTCAAAGCTAGCGACTAAAACACGTAGATAGAAACTATTACTAGAAAGAAACTATTATTAAGAATTGCGATATATATAATTCTCTTTATAATAGTAATTCATCCCAAGTGATTGCTAATTCAATTCTAGATAGGTCACTCTAGAGAAACCGGTCTTTGATACGTATCAAAATATTCCACATGTAAATCATTATCATTTAAATGACAATGATTGAATTAAATGGATTTATGCAATTATGTTTTACGTCTAAACGGAAATCAATATTAATTTTTACAAAGACACTCCTATCTTTTGAATTAATTGGAGAAAAGGGAAATTTGAAATCCGTCGTATTGACAAGTTTTGGTTGTTGAATCAGCAAAACTAAAAGAAACAGACACCAATTACTTTTAACTAGATCACAGTAAGACAATTATTCTCCCAACCCCCTGAGAAAAACCATCCACTGAAGAAAAGGAAGCAATAACGATCGTCGTGGCTGAACTTTAGCCACCGAAAGTATTAGGTTAACTGCGTTTTTTTTTTTTTTTTTGTAAAATGAAAAGCGAATTTTTCACAACGAATAAAAATATATCGACCATTTTGTTTGATTATTTTTTATCATTTTTTGGACAACTTCATGACTCTGCGTTTAAAGACTTCTTTTTTTAGAAAAACAGTTCCAGGAATTATTCGACATTCTCATCAGCTAGCAAATCTAACCTTCGTTAGATAATTTTTTACGAGCTTACACAGCTTACACACTTTTCTCCCTTTAATACAGCAAAATACGAAATGTTCCTTTTTGAAATCGACGCTAAACGAACAATTATCAACGAAATCGTGTATTTTCTTTTTCCGAAGCAGGCTCGAACAATCGTCTATCAGATCACAGAGTGAATCATTTTAACTCTCTGCACTCCTTTGTCGAGCGTGACATCAGTTTTTATCACAAGAACTCTTATTTTGAGTCACACTCGACATCTCTAAATTGCCAAAAAAAAAAGAAGAAAAATAATTGAAAAATAGTTTGAAGTGTAAAGAGTTAAGGTATACAAGTATGTCGATCTATTAGAATAGAAAAAAAAATGCAATTAATTTTCGGCCAACTTGACGTATATCCTCCAGCGCGTGTACCCACGGAGGACAATCGAGTACCTTGGAGACTTTGGAATTTTATCCTTATTGGATTACGAGGAAACAATCCTAAGTCGTCCTAACGAGTGCTCGGCCGCTTCAAAGTATCGTTCGGGCTCGCGATAGATATCCTAATGCCTCCTGACAAGCGTGCCTGTCCTTAGCTGGTCGGCACCTTTTCTAGC